GTGACTGAGTGCTGTTAGCATCGTATTTCTGTTATTAGATTGGATTAGTTAGATTGTTTTGGTTTTTTTTCTATTCCTCTGTATTGCGGTAATCTTTGAACTCTAGGTTAGAGTCTCCCTTTGTTCTCGTTCTCACAGCACTCATTTAGTCTTTAGTTGCCTCACTTTTGTGTCTATTGTTAAATCTTAACTTTTTTTAATAAACAACTTTCAAACACCTCACAACATCGGGGTTTTATGTTACTGCCCTTTACCCCAGCGAGCTGGTCGTAACAGGAATATTTAAGTTTTGCGTTAGAGGTTGTGTAATTCTAAATTTGGACCTCAAGATTTAATTTTTTTCTGCAGATAAGTTCAGAAAACTTGCATTACCAGTTTCCTTGAATACTAAAGAGCATATTGGAAAAAACCCATATCGGTCAACCCCTACAGCTTACAGTTTTTCACAACCTTAGAGAGGCAGATTTACAGGATCGGAAATATCAACAATAATTGCTCCTGAAGGCAACACGAAAAACAAAGACAAACTACGCGAGTTTTAGGAGTCTCAAAAGGTATTCTAGATGCAGAAACAGCTGTCCTCCAATAAGATCCACTACAAGAGGATAGAACAATTATTGTGACATTATTGGGCTGCTGTCTCGTTATTCAGTCCCAGCATTAGCATCAGTGAAGCAAACCAAACTAAGCATCCCCGATTCTGTCATTCAAATAGTTTGACCAAATAAAAACACTGCATCTACCTCCACCATGATTGTTCACTCATGTCCCCTCCATGAACAGCAGCTACAACAACCAGACTGAAGGCTCCAGATTGGCTCGGAGATGTTTTGTGGATGAGGATGAGGTGTGCAGCGTTTGGTCTGACGCTCACCTTCCTGTGTGATGCAGATGGAGCCGCTGCCCATCCCCACTCTCAGCGCATCTGCTCCGGCATCGATCAGGTTCTTCGCCTGAGCTGCAGTCACCACTGGGACACAGAGAGGAGGTTAGAGCTCCAGAACTGCAGTATTTTCTGCAAACAACCTGTTCAGCAACAATTGAGTCGAAAGCTTCAGGGAAGCACAGGCAGTTGTTTGGACACTCAGTAACTCCCAGTGGTGAGTATGAGAGATGCATGCTTATGATTTTAATGAATCACTAACTGGTCAGTCTGACAAGTGCAACTGTACAAACAGTATCTATTATATAGTTCTCCACAACTGCTACTTAGGATGGGATTAAAGAAAATATTTTAACTGGTTAATCTGTGCATCTTGATGTCAAAGTAAAGATGAGTGCATGTACCATTCCCTCCAATGACCTGCAGGCTGGGATACTTTTCCTTAATGTACTTGATCATGTTGATCTGGAAGATTGAGTTGCCCTGAGATGAGTCCTGGAAGTAGAGAAGCAACACACAACATCACCAACTGTAACACACAACTCCTTTCACTGTACGTGTTTTATAGAAATGCAGACAACAACAAAAAATAAAACTACAGAACATTAGCTTTGCTCTCACTGCCGAGAGATAGAAGTTTTCAGGCCAAACTGAACTGAACGTACTTATTGGAAGAAAATCTAACAGTGTGAACACTCAACTCTGACTGTAATGTTTATTCTGTCCTGCACATAAGTCACTGAAGCACTGATGAAAGCGCTCACTCTCAGTCTGTTTTTCACAAGCAGTTCTAGTGCTGACACCACAGTAATACAGCTAAGACTCTGGCTCTGATAAATGTTGTCATTTTGATGATGTCAGCCAACACACTTTTCAAACTAGAAATGTCCCAAAAAGTTTTTTCTTGCACCCCAGATTATATTCAAGTCATTTAATATTTAGTATCTGCGGATACCATTTTTATCTAGACATCACACATTTTAAGTTTAGTAGATTAGTGTTTAATACTTATTGTGTTTGTTGAGCCAACTGGTGAATCACTCGGTGTTTAATTTATCTATTCTTCAAATCCATTATTTAATGGACATAATTTTGTGGCATAAATTATGCACCAGTGGTTAAAATGGCTTCATCAGTAAGTGGAAAAATGTCAACTACATTTCCTTCACTTCAGTGGTTAATCAGTTATTGATTACTACCACAGCTGACTACCGGTTAACAAAATATTTGAAATTTTGCATCCCTACTCCTAAAATTGATCACAGTTGGACAGCTAAAGTTCAGCTTCCTGTATTACCAAGACTTAGTTTCCCCCAGTCTCTCTATTGTAAACACAGTTTGGACCTCCTCCTCACCAGTACGACCACATCCACTCCACTCTGCACCAGCAGGTCCAGGCGGTACTTGTCATCATTGTGGGTTCCGATGGCGGCGCCACACAGCAGCTGTTTTCGGGAATCTTTGGAGGCCAGAGGGAAGTCTCTGTTCTTCTTCAGGTCTGTGCGAGCGATGATGGACACCAGGGAGCCCTCTTCGTTCACTATGGGCAGTTTACCTGCAGGAGGCACCAAAGAGATGAAAACATCATACAGTGGTGCCTGTGTACACGTTTATCTGCTTTATGTCATATTTTTAACTTAGTATCTAATAAAAACAAGAAAAAAAAAAAATCCTCACCTTTCTTACTCCTCTGGAGGATTTCATTGGCTTCTTTCAGTGTCACTCCAGCAGGGGCGACTACCAGCTCCTCTCGCTTTGTCATCACCTGTCACATCACAACATGCAGTTAACAGACCTCTGTCAAATAGCTTTTGCAAATTTAGGCTTCATACTAGTATCTACGTAGACTAGCTTTGATTTTCTTTCTTACTTAAAACTCTTATATTTGGGTCCTGTGGCTATAATTGAAGCCTAAAGAAGTCTCCTTTCACATTAAAACAGGAACATGTATTGTAAAATTTAACTCTTCTAGTCCAAAGACCTGAATCCAAACCCCATCATAGTGGTAGTAGTCATATAGGCGATATAGCCAAACTCTGCCCACCTCGCTCAGTGGCAGGTCGTGGTCCTCCTCTTTCAGGAAATCAATATCTCGGGAGGAGATGATTCCCACCAGCTTGCCGCCCATTTTGCCGTTGTCTGTGATGGGGATGCCACAGAAGCCGTGGCGGGCTTTGGCCTGGAAGACGTCCCGCACTCGCTCGTTGGGGCTCATCACCACGGGGTCTGTGATGAAGCCCTGCTCATACCGCTGGAGGAGGGCGGGAGGGACGGAGGGAGGGAAGGAGAGGGGTGAGGAAAAACAAGGATGGGGATGTGGAAGAGTAAAGGGCGGCAGGTGAAGGAGCAGCGAAAGGAATAAAGAGATCACAGGATAAACTCTACAGCTAGGAAGCAAAAATACTTTTCTACTGGATCTAGTGCAACTACATTCAGAACATGCACAGAATAAAATAATGTGAGATGAGGAAGAGGAGGAAAAACATACAAAAACAAAGAGAAGACATTAGCCCTCTGAACCCCAAACAGTTTTGTAGACATTTCCTGCTCCTGTTACATTTTTGCTCACTGTTGGCTCATTTTTCACTACAATATAAAGTCCTGCACCTCCGAGGAAACAGAACAATCATGACTCAAAGAACTAAAAAATGGCTTCTGTGCAGAATAACAAAGCTGTAATGCCATAGATCATGTAAAAAAGACAAAAACTAAAGCCACTCGGAAAATGGAAAGCCAGACAATTCTGTTTTTACAGATTCTGGATCTGGTAAATGTTGATGTTTTACAGATAACACGGCCTTCAAACTAGAAATGTCCCAATGAAGTTTTTTCTTTCGCTCCAGCTTCTATCCCAGTCATTTCATATTTAGTATCGGCGGACACCGTTTTTCCTAGATAACATACGTTTTAAATATTGTAGATTAGCTGTAGTTGAACCTGAACCTCAGTCTATTACATTTTTGACAATCTTCTGTGAGGCTTAAAGACTTCCAGCCAGTCAGTTTGATCATTGACTCAATGTCCCAGTGGTTCATATAATGATTGTTGCGGCGGTCTGTAGCTGTGACAGCAACAATTAATTAATAATAAATGACTTATTGACATTGCTGCACATATTAAGCAAACTGTCAGTTTTTGGGGTTCAGAAGTCAGTTAAAGAAGAAAAAAAGAAGGTGAATGAAATGAAAGAAAAGCAGATGCAACAGAAGAACAGAGGTGAAAGTCATCATCGCTACCTTGACTTTGCGAACTTCATTGGCCTGGAACTCTGGAGTACAGTTGTGGTGGATAAAGCCGATGCCGCCCGTTAGCTGAGAGGAGAAAACACATCAGTGTGTGTGAATTAGCATCACGGCGTCAGAATGCGACGGCTGAACAACAAACGATCGTGTGTGTCTGTGTGTCGTACGTACTGCCATAGCGATGGCCATGTTGGCCTCTGTGACCGTGTCCATGGGAGAGGAGACGAACGGGGTTTTCATGGTGATCTGTTTGGTGAGCGCCGATGTCAGATCCTGGACAAGAAACAGATATCGGAAAATTGAGTCAGTCTTTTAAGCTTCATGTCACAGTGGGACAGACACACATAAATAGATTCAGGGTCCTGGGATTGTGTTATTGCTTCAGGGACAAGGAACAATGTCTTCTTGACAGTCACAAGAGTCAGAGCTTTTAAAAACGTACACACTGGGGCTTTGACTTCTGAGTCTAGGTGCTGGATGGTTTTATTCTGATTCAGCTTTTACTGTACATGAGTTTGGTGAACTGCACACACAATTCTCTTCTTACAAAAACAATAAAGAACACCCTTCCTTAAATTCAATATTCACTGCTGCAGTCTTACTTGGTCTGGTATGAGGAGCAGCTCGAACGTTAGTGAACTTTAAACAGATATTGCTGCATGACAGGCGGCCCCCACTCAGTACTTGGACTGTCACAGTTGCAGCTTTTAACAAAAAAAAAAAGTGTACTGCTCGGGCTTGTGGAAGCTTTGTGAGTCTAATTGGAGGAGTATTTGTGATGGGAGGCGCACAGCTGATAATCCTCACCTCATGCGCTCCCATCCCACACTCAGATTAGTTTAATACCACAACATCAGCTTTAATCCGATTTTGCATGTTGGTAAATATTTGTCCTTCATTTGGACTCACCACTTGGTCAGATGTGAAGTCGATGTAGCCCGGCAGAATCAGGAAATCACTGGAGGAGAAAAACAAAAGCAATGAGAAATATTACACGTCTTGCATCATCTGTTCATCCCAACAATTTTGAATCATATACAGCTAAGGCGAGGAGTCTTTGTTACCCTATTTCATACTAAATCTATGCATTTTACTGTTTTTTCTGACCATTTGAGAAACAAAAATGTCTATTATGCTTCAATAAATGAAACCCAAATTAATAAAACTAGTGATTTTCCCAAAAAAGGTGAAGAAAAGAAAGGCTTGATTCATTATCCAAACCTACGAAGCAAAAACTCAGTCTTCAATGCACACTTAACTGATCTAACGCTGTAGATAAATAAACGTGTATTTAACAAAATCCACTTTTAGATGTTGTGTAATTCACGTCTGTGCACATTTGAATAAACATTTACAGGCTGAATGTTTCTTTGTTCATAAATAGAAAACCAAGAATGCATTCAAGGAGGGAAGAAAAGCATGAATTTCTTTCATGGGAATCCTAAACTGGTTTCACGTTTCAAAGGAGTGTACAGAGGATCAACATCCACGCTGCTTATGAAAGACAGTGAGACGCCATGTTACAGCAGCGTGTTCAGGCACATGACAGAGCGTCCGTCAGCCATTAGCAGTACACTTCAATGCATCGACAGCATTCAAACTAATCTGTGAAACCAGTAAAACAAATGGTGCACATTTGTTTTTAAACTATTGCACTGTCTCACTCATAAAACAGCAACATCTCTCGATTTCATTCAATTCTGAATTAAACTTTTGAACACTTTTTGGATGTTTTTGTTTCTTATTTAATTTATAACTGAATAAAATATCAGAAAACAGTGAAAAGTGTCCGTGAAAGTCTCCTGCAGCCATAGATGAAACTGTAAAATTGCTTGTTTCATTCAATCCCAACTCCTGTTTCCAAATGAATTCAACTAAAAAGCACATAAAGCAGCAAATGTGCATATTTGAGATCTGTATCCAGCTTGACAGATAAAAACTGCAGCCAGTTTTCTGTCAAACTACTACAAATGAATGAACAAATTACTACTAAACACCTGCTAGTTACAGCACAGAACATTTAAAAGTATTACCCATTTCAAATTGTTTGAGCAGCTCAGTTTCAACATGGAAAACAGTATTTGTGCTTAAGGGGGACGTCCATGATGCTCCAAATATAGCCGAGGTCCACACAGTGCAACACAACAACACAAGACCTAAATTTAGGTCAAGTGTGTGTACGGAAGGAATCTGTCGGCCCTCTAACTTCCAAGAGGCTGTAATTCAGTTTGCAGCAGTGTTTTCACTTTCTTGGACAGGTAGCGGCGATAACTTCACACTGGCAGGGTAATTAAAAAAGTGAGAACAATTATAGTCTGTGGGGAAAGTTCAGGTGTCTTTGAAGTGGTGCCAGCTGTGTTTATAGACACAGGATCACTAGTTGTGCAAGTGATGACCATCAAACTTCTGTGTTCTCAACATTCACCTTCCAAGAACGTCAATTTTATAAGTAAAGGTCAGTCAGTGCTACTTAACCTGTGGTCAGCTGTACAATAACTTAGTTTGTTTAGCCAAAGGTGCCCCATTGAGAAGTTAAAAACTGCTATTGGTAGCATCATGGGAAATGTAGGATCCAGTGTTTCCCTTAAAATATATATATATTTTTTCATTCTCAAATAAACTGTTGATTATTTTTTGCTTTATAAAAGGACAGAAAATGGAAAAAGGCTTTTCAAAAAGCCAAAGATAACATCTTCAGAGGTCTTGTTTTTGCCACAACCCTAAAATAATTAATATTAAAGAAATACAGGAGGAAAGAAAACAGGAAATATTCACATTTAAGTAGCGAAAACACGAGTATTACTTATATAATTGATAACTCTGTATGAAAACAATCTGCAATACATGTTATAGCTGACAACTAGTCTATTACTTGTTGCAGCTTTTCCTTTAAATGGGGTACTAAATGTGTCTCTAAACCAACAATGACTCCACTAATCTGTAACCAAATGTCCAAATAAGTCCCGAGTTAAATAAGTAAATAATTAAATACTGAAGTCTCATGACTCAAGTAAAGAAACAAGAAAATATTCACATTTAAGAAGCTACAATCAGACAATTAACTAGTCTGATGCAGCTCTACCCTTAAGTAGGGCAATAAATCCCTCCATAAATAAATAATGAACACATTAATCTGTAATTAAACGTCCAAGTAGTTTGGTTTTCAGTTCTGATAAGTATATAATCTTATATTAGTTAATTAGTAGTAATTTAAGTATAAAGTTAGCTCGCTCAGCTAAGTAAGTTAGCGTGTTATATTCATTTACTGAATGAATGAGAGAGAAAAAATGAAAATATTCATCTTTAAGAGGCTGGAAATAAGATAATTCTTTACTCTAGTACAAAATAATCTGCAATTATATCAACAGACCAGCTTGTTTTTCGGTTCCAACCAATAAATAATCTGATGCTGATGAGCTTCATGACAGTCTGTGTATAAAGTTAACCGGCTCAGTCACACTTAGTGAGTTAGCATCTTAGCTAACTGCCGCTAAACACAACACAAAGCTAACGGGAGTTCTGGGGCCCCGGTGGCCCCGGGACCGAGCACCGGGGGGGGACCGTGTGTCTTTACTTGTACGTGAGCCCGTCTCCCCCGTTGAACAGCTGCTGTCCCGTCAGCCCGTCCTCGGGGACGTAACCGGTCTGCCCGCTGATCAGATAGTCCGCCATGTCGTCCCGGCAGCCAGCCAGTCGGTCCGCTTCAGTCCGCAACCGACGTCAACGGAGCCGCTGAGAGCCAACGACCGAACACGGAGAGAGGACACGCGAGAGCGGACTCCAGAACTTTCTGACCCCCGCTTCCCGGTCAGTTCACCTTCCGCGCGTCGTGCTGCGTCTTCCCGCCTCCGAGCCTGTGAGCCGGCCGCCGGTGGTCGCCGCTGCCGTCCGGGTGAGTTAACGGTTAAAACCGGGGCAGAAAGCGGCGCTGCGGAAGAAATAACGAGTGTTTTCGGAGGCCTCTCTGGCGGCGGTTGCAGCTCCGCTCATGCTCTCCCTGCAGCTCCTCCGGACACGTGCACCGTTCCCGTCTGACAGGGCTTCCGACGTGACGTCACATCCGGCCGCCCCGCCCCCTCGTTGACATGCCCGCAGAGGAAGCTGCTGTTGTAACGCCAAGGAGAGGAATCCGTCACTGGCAGTGTGTGCAAGAAAAATGATGAAGAGGAGCAGGATGCGAAGCCAAGAGGAGCAGCTGCGTCATTCAAGACAGCAGCATGAGGAAGCTGCATTTTTTTTCATGGGCTTCATTTATTTACTTTGAAGGGGAGCCTGCTTTTCTAGTCCCTACAGATTAAAGGGGGGAAAAAAAACCTTGAAGCCCACGACTTGTTAGTTAGAGACTGCTATTTGGTAAAATACATCTGTAATACTAGAAGATCTTGAACAAAAAGTAGTATTTTCAGTGAAATGGATCTTTAAATCCAGAGTACAGTGTATATGTATGTGTATAAATATTTACAGGGTGACTCGGGGGGGGTTAAGGTTAACCCTCAAGGGCAAATAATTAAAATGTTGGCCTCTGCTGGAGCTACGCAATCAATAAGTACAGCAAGGTCTCAGAAAATTTCAATTTGCTCGTGATATTTTAGAAAACCTCGCTGTATGTATTATTAAGGATTTGTTCATTGTTTACATGCCACGCATCTCTGCAGGTTCATTTACATATGTACAGTGCTTAACAAACGTATTAGACCACCTCCCAATGTAAGGTTTATACTACAGCGGCCTTAAATTAACAACACTGGTAATTACCAAATTCATGGTTAATGCACCAGTATGTAGAAGCTCTTTAATTAAAGTGATATTTTTAATACTAAAATATAATTACTCGTGTTATCCATGAATTTTCAAATTTAGCTTTACAGAAAAACTGAAATAATAGTAACACACGCTATTATTTCTTGATTAAGATGTCAAATTATAATTATTTACTTGCATCCCTGAATAGAAACATTTGTTTTAGTGGTTGAATGTTATTATGCCTGATCAGTGTCTGACTTCTCAGAGAAGCCCAGTGAGCTCAGAGGCTCACGTTTGGGTATAAAAATGTGAATTCAGATTGAAAATTCCTCATTCCTGTTCAAAATGGTAAAACATGGAGAGCCCAGTGCGCATTAAAGCACTTCATGATATTAATATTAATGTGGACATTTCCAGGGTACATTTAGGAGTGTTTTCTGTCTTTCTGCATGTTATTGAAAGGCGTCATTCACTGGACAGACGTTTATTAATTCATGCCTTCCTATAGTACACTAGAAATGCAATAGGTTGCAGGGACACAGCTGCTTGTTATTTCACTTTACAATAAGCCATTTGCTGGATGAAAGTGTAGCACCGAAACTACACACATACATGTATTGTCCACGTTAGATGATGTTGAGTCTGTTTATAGCGTTTGGATATGCTCATCCATCTCCTACGCACCTGTGTCATGAAATAGACATGCAAAGTGAAGACCTTGCAATATTATATTATAGAAAGAAAGCCAACAAATGCAGCAATTTGTTTTTTCCCGCAGTCCCTTTTATCAGGCAGAAACTTCCAGCAGAACCAAGCCCAGGGAGGGCAGCCACTGGTTAAAGGGAGGGTAAATAGGAGAGAGACAACCCCCTGGAATGTTCTACCTACTGATATAAGAAATTGCCACTTTTGGAAATTATGAGCTAACACAAGATCCATCCATCCATCATCTATACACCGCTTAATCCTCACTAGGGTCATGGGGGGCTGGAGTCTATCCCAGCTGACTCAGGGTGAAGGCAGGGGACACCCTGGACAGGTCACCAGTCTATCACAGGGCTACACTTAGAGACAGACAACCAAGCACACTCACATTCACACCTACGGACAATTTAGAATCACCAATTAACCTCAACATGTTTTTGGACTGTGTGGGAGGAAGTCGGAGAACCCGGAGAGAACATGGAGACTCCACGCAGAAAGATCCCGGGTGTCCTCACCAGGATGCGAACCAACGACCTTCTTGCTGTGAGGTGATAGTGCTAACCACCGAACCACCTTGCAGCCCTGCACAAGATGCCATTTTTAAAATCAAACCTGAAGTAAAATTAAAATCTCTCTCCAAAATGCACTAATTGATGACCTTTTTTCGCTGTGTTTTGTACTTTTCTGATTGTTGCATTTCCTCCAGTTGCTCATAGATTCATAAATATCTCCCCATAAATGCAGCACATTACTGCTGATGTTTGGCAAACAGCTGTGTCAGCTTCCCTGCAACTACGACATCAACATGACTTTCAGTTATTTAGTGTGCCTGGTAAAGAACATATTGCATCTCCAAAAACACACACGTCACATTCTCGCCTGAGTTAATATATCGGACAAAACTGACTGGAGCAAAAGTGGGTCCCACCTATTCTGAACTCACCCAGTTTCAAAGTGATGTCAAACCAGCCCCACTGAGCTGGTTTATAATTGGAAGTTGATGCCTGTCGTTCTCCAGAGCGAACACTTGGGGGCGCCGTCCCCCCCACACCACCCATTACTGTGCCAGTATGGAACTCGGTCACACTCGCATAAGGTCAAGCAGAGCAGTGGAGCAGTTAATACTATCCTGGCACACCATTACACCTCTCTATATTAGGCTGCAGCACACCGGCTGGGCCGTGTGCGCAGTAAGGTGCCAGTGTGATAATGTCAGAGGTGGCCTGAGGTTCCACGACATGCGTCAACACTGCAGGAACCGAGGGCCCTGGACGCTATCAAACTTTTCACACTGTTGCTGAAAATGCTGGAAACAATTCATGAGGGACGCAGGGCGACGGTGCACACATGCATCTTTTCTATCGTTCACATTTGCAGCGCAGATGTGCGAAACCCAAATTTAGATGTGAAGCTGGAACATAACTCGTTTGCACCCTGAGTGACCACGTAAGAGCAGAGAGGTGCAGCGTGATGGAAACACAGAGCTTCACATCGACACGACAGTAATGATTAGGTGAAGCTGTTAAATCAGGCTAATTTAGAACCAGCCAGTGTCCACAAAAACAAGACTGTATTTGTACATTTCAGCTTATGGGTGAGCAGGAGCGCCGATCCCTGCAAAACACCTATGAACAGGCTGCTCTGCACCTGGCCAACAAGATCCAGAGTGATCCTTCACACGCTCTGTACTCAGAGTAGAAGTGGTTACCTTCTGGAAGGAGGCTCAGAGTCCCACGCTACTGATTGGACAGATTTAAAGCTTCGATTAGGCTAATTAATAAGAAAAATAGTTCTAACTGTTTTTTTTTATTTTTTTTAAATGCCATGATTTGGACTGGGCTGCAAGGTGGTTCGGTGGTTAGCACTGTTGCCTCGCAGCAAGAAGGTCGCCGGTTTGTGTCCCGGTGAGGACACCCGGGATCTTTCTGCGTGGAGTCTCCATGTTCTCCCCGTGCAGTGTGGGTTCTCTCTGGGTTCTCTGGCTTCCTCCCACACAGTCCAAAAACATGTTGTTAATTGGTGATTCTAAATTGTCCGTAGGTGTGAATGTGAGTGTGCTTGGTTGTCTGT